CCCCCCCCCCCCCCCCCCCAAAGTGGAAACTCTGAAAGGAGCCTCGTGCTTAGCCCTGGCTGCATCGCTCGAGCCTGGCACCATGTGATCACCAACTTTCATTTCTGCCATCAGGAGCATCGGAGACAATCTGTAGAGTACTTTCGGCTGACCTTCCACCGCGCATGTGTTTCTAAACAGGATCTTCGAGTGATCGAGGTCCGAGCTGCCTGCATGGCTGTTGCCCCTGCAAGCGCACTGCCTGTCGAAAGGCTGTCATGTTCAGATCACGCGATGCCAGACTCGCCATCTCCAACTGCGGATACGGATCATCCAGGGGCCACTCCCGACTGGCTGGAGTTGCGAGCCGCTCGCTCGTATCCAAACTGGAAAGAGGAGGAGGGTCGCCCAGAGGACGAGATTGACCATCGGCCTGCTGGAGGTCCCAGGCTCTCCTATCTCTGGTGCGAGGATAGCTTAACAGGACCGACATAGGCGGTGTTTGGGGATTAAGAGTGTGAGACAGACCCGAAGCGTAGATCCATCGAAGCCAAAAGCACACTCCACCCGCAAGCATGGCCCGAGCCTTGGGACGACGGGATTGTCGCAGGACAGACACTTTATCTCGGTGGCAACGTCGGCGTGGACGGCAAGCAGCTTCGTTCCAATTCGGTCAAGATCCTTAGTGAAGTTATTTTTATAGTCCTTGACCGATCGCCATTGGATTGCGAGTCCAGGCTCTACTTTATCCCCGGGCATGCGAAGCGTGTTATGGTCTGCGATCCAACGACGGATCGCGTCACACTAACCGGCCCGATCTTTCCCGGCAAGTTCAAGTGGTTGCGAGGTGTCAATGTCGATGGTGGGAAGATCTATGGCCTGCCTTGTCATGTTGACACTGTGCTCTGCATTGACGTTCCCAGCGGAAAGATAACAACCATACCCATCCCGTATGACGATGTTTTTTCAGACCCCGTTCAGGCTAAGGAGGAGCGTCAGTGCAAATGGAAGTATCACGGTGGAACAATTTGTCCCATTGACAAAGCGATCTATTGCATTCCGCAGTCAGCACTGCACGTACTGAAGATAGATCCTGTTACGGGGACTTGCCAGCTCGTTGGGCCAGAGCTTCCTGGCAAATACAAGTGGTACGGTGGCGTTGTCGGCAAGCATGATCAGGCCATTTATGGCATACCACATAACTCCCCGCATGTTTTGCGGATCTCACCATCGGCAATCACTCTACATGGGGACTACGGCAGCGGCGGGCACAAGTGGCACGGTGCATCACCTGCCCCAAACGGGGATATTGTCTCTGTCCCTGCAAATGCCGACTCTGTCCTCGTCATTCGTCCTGGGCTTGAGCCAGAGATGTTCGAGATTGGAGATACTCTCTGTGTCAAAAGTGGGAGGCACCGCACCGACCGGAAGTACAAGTTTCTTGGTGCCATGACTGGTTCAGACGGCTTGGTCTACTGCTTCCCGAGTGGGAGTGAGCGCGTCTTGCAAATCGACACACAGACCTTACATGTGCGAGAAGTTGGCCCCAATCTTTTTGACATGGAACGTATCTGTCAAAACAAATGGCAGAATGGCTTGACACTTTTCGAGAATGTCTATGCTATCCCGCTCGCAGGTGAAAGCCTACTTCGCATTGATTGCAGCCAAGACCCGCCTCTTGTGACAACTTGGCTCCTGCCCAGCCCACATAGAGTTCTCGACAAGTGGGAGGGAGGTATCATTGCGCCAAATGGAGTCATATACACCGTTCCAAATAATCACAAAGCAATCCTCCGCATTGAGGCGCCGACGAGTGAAGTTTCTAAGGGCACAGGATATCCGGCAGTGTCCCGGACATCCGGCGAGCTGGACGTGCCTTACTTGTCGGGAATTCCAACACTTCGCTCCAGTGCCCATCGTGTCAAGCATGCACCTCGGAGTCGCAAGCATGACCCGAGCCCAACACATGGTGATGAGAAGCAGCCTGGAACGGTGTTTTTGCCCGGGAGTCTTCTGAAAGAAGAGGTTTTTGCATACGATATCAGTGTGTACAACATGCACGAGGCCGTTGTCAAGTTACTCCAGCAATGTGATGCAGATATTGTTGGCAGCTTCCGCTGTGAATCAGATCTCAAGTTGGAGGACTTTTGCGTTCCTACAGACTCAACGTGGAGGTGGGAGGTAGATTAGATTAGATGGGAGCTTCAGGATTGAAAGCCATTTTTGCTTCGTGCACTCTTCTAGATACTTCAACTGTCCTAAGGGGTTGGCTGCTGTGGGTGGGATTATCTTAAACCACGAACCGAATGTGCCTCTCAAGCCTAACACTCGCTGTAGCTTCTAGAGCGTCGAGCTCCGAATCCTGAACCGTACACGTCTTTTGGGACCTTCTGGCACTGGGTTAGTGATGCCTGAAATGAGCTTTAACTGCTTACGCAGTTCTCACTTAAGGTTCTGAAGTCTTTTGCGGTCGTGGGAAGTCTTTTCAGTCTATGCTTCAGCGCAAAGGTTGGTGAGATCCTTTGCCGCATACTCGTTTGAGTTTGAATGCACATCGGTATTGGGTGCCCCGTTTCAAAGGAGGCTTGGATGGAGATGCTCTGGTTCTTCTCACCGTTTCGTGGAGTACTGTACTACGGTTACTGCAGAGGTGATGACACGTGTGGTGTTGCATGATTCCTGACCGCTGAAGTGGAAACCCTTGAGGTCGGTGAACGGCGGGAAATGCGAGGACGCGCAAAAGCACCTGGTTCTCACAATACTCCCTTACACAAAACACTGTACACGGCTATACACGGCTTACCGCTTGAAGGGTGTTTGGTTTCGCGACGTAAGTTGGGTTGTACAGCAGGGGCTTCCGGGCTTGCGGCTGTTTAGGCTTGGGGTGTCAGCTATAGAGTTCTGGACTGCAAAGTCTTGGCCTTCGCACATACTCGACGAACCCAGGACTTGTTTGGCGTTGAGACGTAGTGGCACGGGGCGTTAAGGAGATGGTGTAGGGCAGACGAGTTTGATATTCTACTTGCCCTCAATCTGCCGTGTAAGTAGACAAGCTCTTGAAGTAAGCAGGTCGCCGCAATAGCGTCCAATGGGTCCGAAGACAAAGACTGACTGACAGCCCCTTCAGCAAGGCCCGTGCTAATCTTACGACAATATCATCTTCGGAACACCGAAAGCTGCACAACAAACAAGGTATCTGTCAGACCAGATCGCCCAGAACGCGGCATTCCTTGCTGATTTTGACCGACTGGTCCTCGAAGTGGTTTTGCCTTACATGACGCTCGCACTCCGTTGTCGCATTTGTATGTCGGAGTAAGGTTTTGGATTTGTTTTTTTGCGAAAGAACCTATAGAAGCAGAAGTTTTGTACGCTTGGCTAGATGCCTGCCGGCCCAGGCCTGCAACTTGTATCCTAGAGCGGCAGCAGCATGCTATCATGCTTGCAAGTATGAATCTGAAGCCGGCTCTCAATGTGATCGCATGGGCTTTGCCAAAGTTCAGTTCCGTTGAAGCGCCATTCCACCCGAATTGTCTCAACAACTCTCAACATAGAGTATCCAGTTCCCTCTGCATAAGGAAGAAGCGTCTTGTCGCTGCTGGTGTGGCAGATTCTCATGTGCCCGTAAAGTTCTACTACCAGCGGCCGCCGACGTTACGATTACAGCCTGGCCCTGCTCGCTCGCATGTCAAGGCTGGGATCATCAAGTAAACCACAGACAACAACATCAGAGGCAAAGGTTGCGTGGTTGCTGGTCGCTGCTAGTCGTTATCATGAAGGAAGACCGTCGACCGCGGCCGGCCTCAACACCCACCCCCCAAGCGTGCAATCATCCCCTTCCACCAACAGAGGCTTTAACGACGCAGCTGCAAGCTACAATAGTAGGCAAATGCTGGCAAGCCGCATGTAAGGTTGAACTAGCTGATCAACACGGTTGGACAGAACACAGCTACAGAATCAGCAAGAACGGGAGAGCCTGATAGTCGGGTTGTCGTGCGAGTATTGAATTGTAGTCAAGATTGTACTTATTCGTTTGACTCAGAAGTTGTGCTTGTGTGTTGCTGACTAGCCAAGGCCCACAATGATGCGACATATGGGCATCAGAATGGTGAGCTGAATTTTTGGGTGCCGCTGACGGATCGAAAGCTGACACAAGTTGACTTGCACTGCGAGTCCGTTGTTGATGAAGGTGGGAGTTTCTCAACACCATGTACAGGTAGAAACTCTTGGGCATTTTTAGGATTGCAGTTGGAGTTCCTTTGTCACGGGTCGACATAAACTCATGACTCATTTATTGAGGCTTTGGAGAAGAAGAAAACAAACATAAATGCAGTTGGTTATATGTATATGTGCATGTATGCATGCATGCATGCATGCATGCATGCATGCATGCATGCATGCATGCATGCAGGCAGGTGCGTATGTGGATATACATATATAATATGGGTCTCTGAAAACAGTCCCAGGCGACTACCATGCTATCGCGGCCAAGCCAGGAGAAATCATTGCTTTCCACGGTTCCTCGTGCCGGCATTACATCAATGCGAACACGACACCATACACGCGAGTCTCCATGGATTTTCGCGTGGGGGTCGAAGGCTATTTTGATCCAACGTGGGCGATGGTTGGAACGAGTGATGATCACACCCGCAGCCAAGTTTCACTGTAGTGCTTGAGCCAGCTACAAGACCGTGCCAGGCATGTGTGTCTGCGCGCCAACAGCAACGTGCCTTCCTAGGAGTCATTGTCGGCGTCCCTGGTAGACTCGTACACATGCAGTACGTCGACGAAGCCTGTCCCGAGCTTTCTTGTGATTGACCCTCTGAATGATTCAGTTAGAAATACACCGATTCCTCCAATCCCTCTGCCATTTAGGCGACCACTGTAGTCTAACGCAAATGCCCCCCGAATTACATATTCACGGGTGTGATGAAATGAGGAGGGAGGGAAAGGGAAAGCTTGCATAAACGAAATATGCAAGCTCGGAGCACCAGCCAGTGTCAGCCTGCGAGGCTGCTTGCGCTCAGGCCAGGTGGCTTAACCAATGACCGCTTTGTGGATGTGAGCCCGCGGTTCTGCTTTATTACATAGCGCTGTCTAAGCATGGGTGGGTCCTTCTAGTCCTGTTCTTGTCCGCAATTTATACTTACGGCTCAGCTTCACGAGCTTCGCATTGCACTTCCGGTCTGCGCATTCCCACTATCCTTGTCATCAAGTCAGGGCCTGTCTTCATGTTGACTTCGTGGAGTTTCGCGTCGCTCTCCGCCCCGCCATCCCGCTCTTCAGCCGCTTTCAAGCACGAGCAGACACTACTCGAGGTACACAGCACATGAAGGATTAGTTGCTGGGGGACAGATCTGTTGAGGCGTACATAGAGGCTGCTGCTCTGATATGGACTCTCGAGCTGAGCTTTCCTGGCTTCGGGAAGGACTGCATCCTTTGAATCCTTCGCATGTTCCCCTCGCGTTGAAGCCATGTCGAGCCCGGTTCAGGATGTGCCCTCTCCGAGGCAGGTTGATCATCTCACGGGTCAGGTTTCGCTGAGTAATTGGCATGGGTCTGACGTGGGCAGCCCCTGCTCTCCCGGATCCTGGATGTTGGGGTTCAGGTCTGAGCTGCGTAAATATGTAATCAGCACCCCCGAAGCCTAGCAATCCGATCTGCGAGGGTTGGCGTGGCCACAAAGCGGGCCTCTTGCGCCGCCTCTTGGGATGAATTAGCTACTAAGGATGTGTGGACTTGAGGCTCTTCGAGAGTGAGGTATGTCGATTCTCTCGGGGCGACGATCCGGGATCAAGTTGTGTCTTAGGCCAAGCTTGTGCGTTCAATAGGCAAGGGGCTGCGATGGGGCGAATTGCTGTTTGTGTGTCGGGGATGCAGGCATTCAACGCTTCTATGCTGGATCCAGGCAAACGAGTGCAAGACCTGCCGGTGCAGGCTTGCGTGTTTTATTGCGTGAATAAGGGCTGCTCACTTGGATATTGGGCGCTTTTCTGCAATGGAGTGCAGTGGAGATCTTGGCGGGAAGTTGCTGAAGCCGAGAAAATACCAAAGTCCGTTGGTCTGAGGTTTCAGTTGCCATGACCGTTGCTGGATACCTTGCGCCGCAGCTGCCGGCAGCGTGCATGCAGAACAGCGTAGCTTGTTTCAGTTGCCTTTGTTTTGATGGTCTTGCTCAGTAATTAGGCTTGGGGCAGTGTCAATCTGTTTCACAATGACCTGTGAGCGGAAACGCGAGCGAATGTGCTTGGCGAGCTTACCTGTGCCAAGTGGCCGCAGCAGGCGCCGGTCTCATCGTTGAACGTCCGCGTGATGAGCATCGCAGACGCTGAACCTCAGTTTCAACCCGCAAGCTCTCAGGCGTGGCCAGGTTTCATAACGAGTATGTAAGCCTCAAACATGATTAGACGAGCAGGCCTACTCTAGCATCCTTTGCTGGTTACTGAGCTATCATTATGTTGATTGTGCTGCACTAGTTTCAGAATGCACCATGCCCCTGACACTTTGACTCTCCAAAACTAGGAGCCTAAAGAAGCCCTGCATCGATCAAGAAGCTTGTCAGTCAGTGCTCTCGCAGCAGAATACGATCATTCTATGGCAAGCTTGTCAGGAGCTACCTGGGAGAAGCTTTCAGCATAGGAAAGGTGTAGCCTGGGTGCAGGCAGGGCGGATAAACGCGAGACAATAGCAACTCAAAGGCTGGAACGACAACCTGCGCCTAACGGGACCTGGAAGGCTTGAGGCTGGTTTTGTTCAGGTCGTCTCCTTCCTGCTGAAATGAAGATATGTAGTGATTGAGGGAATCAGAGCCTGATAGCTCGTCCCCAAGACCTCCCAAAGACCAGTACGCCCCCCGATCGTCGCTGAGACGCACTCAAAGCGTTGCACTCCGAGCCGCAAGGCATCGAATTGAAATCCTCCTAAACACTTCAATTTCCACTTCACAAACTTGTCAAACCACATCAATAATTCTTCGTAGAGGCTCGCGAACTTCTTGCTGCCGCTGCAGAGCGGAAGAGGACACGCTTCAGCATTCCGTGTTTCAGGTCTGGGTCGACTGCTTGAAATTCCAGGGCCGACAAGGTGCAAAGTGAGGCTGGGGTTCTAGTGAGCTTTCTTGGCCTTGAGAGCTTGAGTGCCGTTTGAGGGGCTTCAGCGTTGGGAAGGTTTAAGGGTTGAATCTTGAAAGCATCATGACTATAGAGGTTCGTTCCATAGTTGTGGAGAGTTTTCCCGCTCGTCCCGGACATTCTATATACATGTCTGACCCCTACCACACCCGACGCTCGGCACACATGCGCATAACTAGCACCCTGCAACTGAACAGTGGTCTTGGACAGGTCCTGGGTCGAGCTGCAGCAGCTTCGACAGGCTTCCTGGCTTTCAGATTCCACAACGTTTCCCATCTTCGTGGGATTTCAGCAGGGACAGCAGGGATTCAAGGCTTTCCGCTTCGGAGCTTCAGGGATTACATCTTAACCATGGCGCCCATATACATCCAAAGCTCCACGACACTTGGACAATGAGCTGAATGGGCCGCAGCCGGGCCGGGACGTCGTATTCTGGAACTTCCAGCTCTCAAATCTCTACTGTCTGGCTCAAAGCTTTCCAACTGAACCAGGCTTGGGGTAGCAGTGTCTCGATGATGGATCCAGGCTGGCGGGCCGCCACGCTCGTCAAACCTTTTCCAACCCCTTCACACCCCATCCAGAAGCCGACGATCTGTAGACCTGACGCCTTAATATCTCCAAAATCCGTCAACCTCCGAATCCTTCCAAAGCACCGAGCCCGGAACCCTAAAGACTCGACAAAAAGCTGTTTAGCTGTCGACCTGACGAAGGTGAGTCGTGTCTGGGCGGCTGCCTGCTCCGCCCAGCCCTCCACACAAGCTCAGCTCTACGCTGAGGCCGGCACTTAGGAAAGGCTTGGGGCAGGTCGACTCTATGGGAATATGCTATTTGTGTTGCATCACCTTCATATTTAGAATTTTTCGCTAGCTTCTAAATGATTTGATGGTTAATTACCTTGTCGCGTGAGTGCTGCTTCGAAAGGATGTCGACATGGAAGTTGCACCGTGTCTCGACTAGTCCCCTGAGCTTCCAAATTGGCCTGGGCTCGGCGGCCCTGCCCGTCTTCGCGCGTAGAGTCTCTCACAGTCAGGATCGCGGTCGGCTCTTGGAGGCTGCCAGCAGACGGCGACATCAGAGCCTTAGCTTTTGCAGGATCTTTGCATCCTTCACCTGAGGTCTCAATACGCACAAGCATACGGATCCTACCTACGGAACCAATAGCTTCCAATTTATGACCCAACCGGGAGCTGGAAACTGCTCGGACTGTGCCACCAGTACGCGGTCACGGCCTCGAACTCTTGCTCGTGATATCTCGCGATTTGATCCAGCACCACAGAAAAGAGATCTCACCACAAGTGTTGTGTGATCAGACGTGTGGACATGGCAAGGATCTCACCTTTCGTCGCTGTGCTAGCAGACAACCCGAGAACAAGACTACACGCGGGATCTTTGTGTGTGGGGCTTCCTTTGTGTGCTGGGTTCCGAGCTGGTTGCTTAGCTCCGTCTTGCAGAAGCCGCAGGATGATAACCAAAAGCATCTTGCTGATGATCGGTGATGGTATTGACGACGATGCCGAAGTTTTGATGGCCGTGGTGAAGTTGAGGATGACGATGATAATGATGATGATGAGTATAAGAAGATGGAAAATGGTGAATGACGATGCTGGTGCTGGCGTTGGGGGCCGGTGCCTATTGCTGTTGATTGTGATGCAAGTGACCTTAATCGTATGCATGTAGCTGTTTTGGTGATGATATGTTTTGATTTCGTCTGACTTTCTATGATTGCAGTAGCACAGCCAAGCACGTCCAGGTTGGTAACTCTGTATGGCCGGAAAGAATATGCATAGGCACCGGCTGGATGTGTGGGGTTATGCTGTCTTGATTCTTATTATGTTTGCCGGCTCGGGCAGGACTCCGGCAAGCCGTATTGTCGTGAAGGCTCACTTGGGTTTGTCAATATCATTACTTCTTCTGATGTTCATGATTCGTGGCTACGTCCGGGTTGCAGCCAAGGTACTTTGAACACTCGGCAATTGGCGCCACTGTCTGCACTTGTCTGCAGGGCTTCTCCACTGACTCCAGACTCCAGTTCTGTCCGTGGGGTTTGTTAGGGCCATCGAAGTGGCGGCCCGCTATCAGGAGCACAGCGCTACTTGTTTCTTCTCTGCTCAGCTCCGATCTTCTTCTGGTATACCGGACGCTGGATGTCAAGATCCTATAGTATTTAGTGCTTCGATCTGGATTTCTAGCAAGTTTACCAGACTCGAGCAGACATAGTTGCTGTTGTAGAGTCACGGGCATGTTGACCAACTCGTTCCAAATTATCCACGTCTACCGGCAGTGTTTGAACATGATGTGTGGCTGGCAGGTATCATTGCAAACCCTCTATCAGACAAACTCAGAGTTACATGTTGCAGAGCTGCTGCTTCTGGTGTGACTCGGACTTAAGATGCCTTTAACGCTAGGGCAGGACACTACCGTTGCTTCGAAGTGAGCTCAGTTCTAAGGTGCAGGGCTTGTTTGCCTTGGCTGGCTTGGGTACCAAGCTCCCTGACTACATCATCTACCTCTCGGCATCTTTTGACAGCCTGCTTTGCAAGCTGCTTCGTTGATGACACTGCAGATGTCTGACAATGCTGCAATGCAAATGCCTCTGCACAGAACATAGATGAGGCTTCGGAGTCGTGTTAGCACTTGCCTTGGCAAGGTGTATGTTTAATTGACATCGTTCTGTTGTGGTTGTCGGAGCGAAGCACCAGCTGTGCACGGTACTGCATACCCCTCTCTTGTCATGGCCTCAGGTGGAGCTGCAGAAGCCGCGGTGGGGCACAACCTACGTCGTCGGCACCTACTGCTGCAAGCATTCTTGTGGTTTGTAGGGTTCGAAGTCCAGAAGCTCCGCAGACGACACCTGCCACCAATTCTGTCAAGCACTCTTCAAGTACTTCACCTTTCTGCACATTGCATGTTCCCTTCAAGTTCTGCTCAAGGTTCTCTGCTCAAGCTTCTAACTTTCCGGCGCATGCTTTCTCACGATGCAAAAGCGACTGCTGAAGTTGGTTCCCATCCTCTGCGCCTACATTTACCACTCTGGTCCCAATACCCTGACTCTCTCAAGGGTCCCGCCGATTCCTCAACCAATTCCGAGGTTGTGCATCACTGAACCCTGAATTTTTGCGCCACACCCCAACATGACAAAGGCGTGAACCTTCCACATCCCCTTAGGTCGGCGTTCTGCCCAGTGAACCATCCCGTAATCCTTCGCAGCCGACCCTCCCAGCAGGGGCACTCTCCAGCCTGGCCAGCGGTGTAATTGGCATAGCCCTGGAGGCGCATACGACAGCGGCCCCATCGTGGTCATATGACTGCTAGGACCAAGCGTCATTAACTAGATGCTGCTTCCTTAGCACCTCGCAGGCAGCCGTTATTGGTATTCGTGTTTGTGATTCGGAAACTGCATGTGTACTGGAGGCTATGTGCCCTTTGAATGCCAGGGTTCACTGATACAGGGTGTTGGGGTTTACAGGGGTTCCGAATAATCCAGTTTTGGGCCCGGTTGCTCACGGTAGTCTTCAAGTGAACGGCATTGGGACATCTGCTCTTGAGGGGTGATTGCGCGATGCTACTTCCCAAGGTCTTCTGGTTCTCCGAGTAGTGGTCTGAAACAAACTCGAAAAGCAATGGGACTCATTATGGCGATGATGACAACGAGGATAGTATGATATGATGGCAGTGACAATGACATGATGATGATGGTGATGACGATGATGATGACGATCAGGATGCTGATGAAGAGCAAGATGATGATGAATATGATGATGAATATGATGATGAGGATGGTGATAATGAGGATGAGGGTGATGATGACTATGACGGCGACGAGGATGATGTTGATGGAGACGAGAACGAGGATGTTGATGCTGCAGTTGCTGTTGACGATTATGATAAATATTACGATGTTGTTGTTGTTGCTGTTGCTGTGGCTGTGGCTGTGGCTGTGGCTGTGGCTGTGGCTGTGGCTGTGGCTGTGGCTGCTGCTGCTGCTGCTGCTGCTGCTGCTGCTGCTGTTGCTGTTGCTGTTGCTGTTGTTGTTGGTGGAGTTGTTGCTGTTGTTGGTACAGACAGAAACAGCAGCCCGTAACTTTTGTTAATT